CCTACACTCAGCACCATGTTATACAAGGTACTCGCCTGAACAGCAGAGGGGGGGGAGCGCACAACCCCCACCGTGGGCGGCAGCGAATGTGGAACGCTTTCCAGGTTTTCCAGGGCCCCCCATATCTGCAGCAGTTATTTTTTTATGTGTGCCCCGGGGACGGCTCGGTTTATGGTCACCCCAAATCTTTTCCCTGATGAGGCTGTTCTTTGTCCCCCTAGCCCATACTCTGCGATCTTTTTTTGCCCTCCCCAAACTTCATGACTTTGCATTTGGGAGGGGTTTAATTCGAGAAGCCCGTTTCTGGACCACGTGCCCCGCCTGTCCAGGTCTCTTTGCATCTTGCCTCGCCTCATCCGATTAATTCTTTTCATCAACCACATCACCCGCGAATAGGCAAGGGTACAAAAACCCAAGACCAGGGGGCCCCGGATCAGGGCCCAGGGCCAGGGTCCAGGACACAGGGGGTTTTGGAGTTAGATCACCTAGGGTCACCTGGGGGAGGGGTGTGTTTGTGTGTGTACCACCTATTTTTACTCACCCATTGAGGTTGCGGGGTCGAGTTTCCGAGCCCTGGGCCCCCCCCTTTACGATCGCTACTAGGTCACTCTCCCTGAGCCGGAGCTTTACATACCTCTGCTTTAAAACATGTATGGATCCCGCCTCCACTACATGCTTCCCAAACATTTCCACTACTGACACTCTGTGGGTGAAGAAAACTTCCTAACATCCCGGATTCTCTGTGCTCAACTTCCAACGTGTCCCCTTTTTACGTGTCCAATCTCTGGAACACTGTCTTTTTTTCCACCTTGTCAATTTCCCTCAGTATTTTGTAGTCGTTTTTCATGTCCCCCTTATCTCTCCTTCCTCCAGTTCTCAGTTGATTTTCCCTTTCCTCTCCCTTGGACATACCTCTTACCCTGGGGCTAGTCTTGTTTGAAACTTTTCACTTTTCGGTTTTATCTGGGGAGAGTTCCGGGGGTCAACGCCCCCCGGGCCCGGTCTGTGACCACCCCCTTAGGTCTGTGCCCCGGGTGCGACCCACACCAGTCGACTAAAACCCAGGTACCCTTTTTACTGATGGGGAAAATGACAACAGGGGGAAAGAAACACGTCCAATGTTTCTACCTGGGTGGGAATCGAACCCCCGGCCCTCACCGGTGAAGCGAGAGGTTAAAAACCCCCCACCAAGTTTCTTTTCGTCTTGGCTAGGGATGGGTTTCCAAACTGGGGCCACATACTCCAATATGGGCCAACCGAACACGGTGTTAAAAGGGCCGAATGATTCCTTATTAAAATGTCGGGAACGTTCTGAGGGTTTCTAGGCGCCCAATCTCGCAGTTATTTTTTGGGTTTATGGCACTCAGAATTGCCTGGGGTTTTTTTAAATCACCCCCAAGATCTTTTTTCCTTATGATTTGTAGTCTCTGGCCCCCTAGACTGTACTCCGTCGCGGGTTTCTTTGCCCTTCCCCAATCTTCAGAAATTTGCATTGGGGGGATTAATCCAGGAGCCAAATTTCGGGCCCGGGCTGCAGCCTGTCCAGACCCTTTTATTCGCCCCGGTCTTCAATCGAGTGAATTCTTTTCATCAACCACGACGCAAAAAGGGACACCCCAATCTATTCCTTCCTCATGTCGTTCACAAATACCAAAACACACTGGTCCTAGGACTGACCCCCGTGGGACCCCCCTTGGGCACAGGGCCCACTATACACCTCGCCCGTACCATGACTCGCTGCTGTCTTCCTGCAAGTATTCCCTGATCCATTGTAGTGCCTTCCCGTTTTCCCTGCTTGGGCCCCAGTTTTTGACCAATCCTTTTGGGGGAACTGTGTCAAACGCCTTCTTGCAGTCCAAGAAAATGCAATCCACCCACCCCTCTCTCTCTTGTCTTACTGCTGTCACCATGTCATAGAACTCCAGTAGGTTTGTGACACAGGATTTCCCGTCCCTGAAACCATGTTGGCTGCTGTTGATGAGATCGTTCCTTTCTAGGTGTTCCACCACTCTTCTCCTGATAATCTTCTCCATGATTTTGCATACTATACATGTCAGTGACACTGGTCTGTAGTTTAATGCTTCATGTCTGTCTCCTTTTTTAAAGATTGGGACTACATTTGCTGTCTTCCATGCCTCAGGCAATCTCCCCTGTTTCGATAGATGTATTGAATGTTGTTGTTAGGGGTACACATAGCGCCTCTGCTCCCTCTCTCAATACCCATGGGAGATGTTATCTGGCCCCATTGCCTTTGAGGTATCTAGCTCACTCAGAAGCCTCTTCACTTCTTCCTCGGTTGGTGCACTGTGTCCAGCACATGGTGGTGTGCCCCACCTCTCCGTCTTTCTGGAGCCCCTTCTGTCTCCTCTGTGAACACTCTTTGAATCTCTTGTTGAGTTCCTCACATACTTCACGGTCATTTCTTGTTGTCTCTCCTCCCTTCCTTCCTTAGCCTGATTACCTGGCCTTGACTGTTGTTTTCCTCCTGATGTGGCTGTACAACAGTTTCGAGTCAGATTTGGCTTTTGCTGCTATGTCGTTTTCATATTGTCTTTGGGCCTCCCTTCTATCTGTGCATATTCGTTTCTGGCTCTATGACTGCTCTCCTTATTCTCCTGGGTTCTTTGCCTTCTATATTCTTCCATTCCCTAGCACACTTGGTTTTTGCCTCCCTGCACCTTTGGGTAAACCATGGGCTCATCCTGGCTTTTTCATATTCCTGTTACCCTTGGGTACAAACCTCTCCTCAGCCTCCTTGATTTTGTTGCTACATATTCCATCATCTCATTAACTGGCTTCCCTGCCAGTTCTCTGTCCCACTGAACCCCGTTCAGGAAGTTCCTCATTCCTGTGTAGTCCCCTTTCTTGTAGTTTGGCTTCATTCGTCCTGGCCTTCCTGCTTCTCCCTCCACTTGTAGCTCTACTGTGTATTCGAAGCTTAAAACCACATGGTCACTGGCCCCAAGGGGTCTTTCATATGTGATGTCCTCGATATCTGCACTACTCAAGGTGAATACTAAGTCCAGCCTTGCTGGTTCATCCTCTCCTCTCTCTCTGTAGTGTCCCTTACGTGTTGGCACATGAAGTTTTCCAGTACCCACCTCCATCATCTTAGCCCTCCATGTATCTGGCCCCCATGTGGGTCCAAGTTCTCCCAATCGATCTCCTTGTGGTTAAAGTCACCCATGATCAGGAGCTTTGCCCTGCATGCATAGCTCTTCTGGCCACTCTAGCCAGTGGTCAACCATCGCTCTATTGCTCTCGTCGTACCTTTGCCTTGGCCTCCTGCTGTTCTGTGGGGGGTTATAAAATCACTGCTTTTACCACCTGGGACCTCCAGAGTGAAGCGTTCCCGCTATGTAATCACTTCTTTTTCCGTTTGTCCCCTTTCCAGCTCATCAAAATTCCAGCGATTTTTGACAGCAATGCCACTCCTCCACCCCCCCTGTTCCCTCTGTTTTTTCCTCAGGATTTGGTATCCTGTTGGAAATGGCATCTGTTATTAACCTGTAAGCTTGGTTTCTGTGAGAGCTATGATGTCCAGTAAATGCTTCTTTGACTCTTTCATGCCCACTCCTCCCACTTATTGTTATTTCATCAGCGTTTGTGTACCTACCTTCAGTTTCTTTCCCAACCTGTGGTTTGGGGGCCTGTGAGGGTGGGAGACCTGGGGGCCCATACTTTTGGATTCTATAGCTCGGTGTTGGGTGGAGGCTGAGGGAAAGGATTGTAGTGTGTGTTGGGATGGTGTGATGGGTTGTATGGTTTGAGAATAGTTTGTGTGTGTGCTTGCCCTTGCTGTTCGTTTCGCTCTGACTGACCTCTGCTGGTTCCATCCTTGTCTCTTTTCCTAGCTCCTTTCGCTTTTTTGTCCCTCCCTCAGCTGCTGTCGTTCTGTTTTGTTCTGTCTCTGTCTAGGAACACCCTCTGTACTCTTCCCAAGTTTTTTCAATCGTGTTTCCTTGGAGGATCCGTTCCGCACTGTTTCTGCCCTGAGAATCAGCTTGATTGGTCGTTTTCCCCCTTCGAGTACCCCCTATTCTCTGAAAATTTACAATCTCGTCCATCTCTTCACCTATTTCCGTGATGATTTTCTCAATCCCCTTTTCTTTTCTTCCTGCAGCCTTTTCAGTGTGTTTCCTTTCCTCTCTCTCCTGAAGCCCATGGACAAACACTGATTTTGCCCTTTTCCCCCTCCCATTTCCTCACCCTCTGTGACTTGGATCCTGCCTGTATGTGGTCATTTCTCCCTTGCTTTTTCCAGTGGCTCTTGATAGCATGGTTGTGCCTCAGCATTCGACCTATCGGGCCCCGTCCATCTGCAACCAGCTGTTCTCCCTTCACTCCTTGTCCTCCTTGCAGGCTGATATGACCTTAGCATATTCATAATTTCCCTTTCCCTTTCCCGTTCGGCCTCGCACTTTTATATGCTGTCTTTTCTGGGCACGCTCTGTAACTCGCTTCACCTATTTATCTCACTTCTAGGACCCTTATCTTGGCTACTGCGTTTTCGACTTGTGCCTCCCAATTCTTTGTATCCTTTCTCCAACCTCTTTCCAATTTCACAAGAGCTCTTTCTCCATTTTTTCAGAAAGCTCTCCTAATTTTCTCTCCCACCTTGTTCCATCCTTTTCCACTGCTCCTCCATCCACTGTGTGTGTGTGTGTGTGTGTGTGTGTATGTGTGTGTGTGTGTGTGTGTGTATGTGTGTGTGTGTGTGTGTCCATCTCATTCACAATACACCAAATCCCACACGTTAGGTGTTCCAAATCAAGCTCCACGTATCCAAACCACTCTGCACCGTAGTGGTGACATAGATCCCATCCAAGGAATGTGATCTATGTCACCTGGGAGTGAACTTATCCTCCCAGGTGGTCCATGACCCCCACGGGATGAGCGCTCCACCATGGGGTAGTACTGATAGTTATGCCGTCTAGTGGTGGTGTAGTAGTGCCATCTAGTAGTGGTAGTAGTGGTGTAGTAGTGGCATCTAGTGGTGGTAGTAAGAGTTAGTCAGGTTATCAGTGATGGTGTTATAGTGAATGTCAGGACAGTGACCAACCTCAAGGTTACTAAAGGTCAATTGAACTTCAGTGGTCGTACAGAAGAGACATGTTGCTCCTCCTCCTGCCACCCCCGCCGGCTTTACCGCTTCCTCATCCTTTTAATACACCTAGATAACGTGAGTATTGTCTGGTGACGTATTTGTCAGTACAGCAGCAGAGTTGAGCTGCAGCTCCTGGTCCTCACCACCAGTTTGGTCACCAAATTATTAATATTTTAATAGTCATAATGTAATTTTTGGGGGTCTAATGTTTTGGAGGGGGCGGGGGGTTGAATTGAGTTTAGTGGAGGGGTTTTGATGCGAGGAACTGAAGCTACTCCCCTTCCTCTGATCAAACAATAATTCTCACACTAGGCTTTACATAACTCATAATGGTGTATCCAGTTCTGGGTTATTTGTTTTAGTTGTTTCATTATTGAAAAATAATTTAGTGAAGGTCTCTTGATCCAAGGAACTTGCGCCTTGTGATCCAGATATAGACTTCCATGCAAACAAATTGTTAGTTATCAGGTTTATTTATAAGAAATATTAAAGAGAAAGCTTTACTATATTAAACATTAATGGGGTATATAAGTCAGGCAGTAATGTTACTAGTTTTATAGGCATACATGGCAATGTAGGCCTATAAATGTTTGTAATGTTCATGGTTATAATGTAAATGTTTTGTTTCAGGTGTGGTAATTGTGGAGTGCTGTGCCTGGCTGTGTCTGCTGCAACATTGATCAACACAGCAACCTTGACCAGTCTGAGTGGAGACAACCACACTAATAAATGGCCTGACCCATAGTGTAGTGGTATATGGAGATGCAGTAGTTGGAGACGTCGTTAGATGTGGGCGGGGCCCACTTGTAAGGTATTTCCAGGTTATAAGTCCACTAAAGTTTGGTTATTGAAGCAAATCGTAATTGTATTAGGTGGGAGGCTGGTGGGGAGAGTATATGAAAGATTGTAAAGAACTGACATCAAAAGTAACTTAGTGGGATGTATTAGTTTATCTCCCGACCAGACATGAAATCTCTGGCCAGGAAATAATGTGGAATGTATTCTATAGGTTACCTTGAATGGGGTGGAGATAAAAATTGGAGAAATAGGTTGTAAAGCTTAGAACTGAAGACTGATTAGATTTTAGGAAGTTTTAGACTGTAGGGAGCAGATATGAAATGTGTAAGTGATATATCATAGCTCATTTGGTAGTGGCGTCAACCGATGAACCGGGATTCGATCCCGGGCACAAGTGGGTATCTTCCCTTATATCCATTGGCACTGTTCACATAAAGGGGGAACACTGCAGCAGGCCTACTGGTAGGGGTCGCATCCAGGGGGAGTATAAATACCCTAATAAAAATGTCATAGAAGTCATCCCGACTTGATTGTGTAATTGTGTTAATCTACCGAGTTAATTATACTGAGATAGTTCAGTGTGGTGAGGGTAATGACAGGTCTTGACGCCGGGTATAAGGGAAGCCTATTAAATCAGGCATATCTGTTATTAAGACATAAGAAAGGAGCACTGAAGCAGGCCTATTAGCCCAGGTTAGGTAGGTCCAACTCGACCACTCATTTGTCCAACCTATTTTTAAAACTACACAGCCAAAGTTTTAGCTTCACATGCCGGGATAAAGTTTCCTTAGGCAGAATATATTATAGCCGGAAAAATCAATATTCAGAAATGTGGAATTAACCACATCTTCCTATTTTCAGTAGTGTTGTAGAGGACCTGGCCAAGTTGTAGAGGACCTGGCCAAGTTGTAGAGGACCTGGCCAAGTTGTAGAGGACCTGGCCAAGTTGTAGAGGACCTGGCCAAGTTGTAGAGGACCTGGCCAAGTTGTAGAGGACCTGGCCAAGTTGCAGAGGACCTGGCCAAGTTGTAGAGGACCTGGCCAAGTTGTAGAGGACCTGGCCAAGTTGTAGAGGACCTGGCCAAGTTGTAGAGGACCTGGCCAAGTTGCAGAGGACCTGGCCAAGTTGTAGAGGACCTGGCCAAGTTGTAGAGGACCTGGCCAAGTTGTAGAGGACCTGGCCAAGTTGTAGAGGACCTGGCCAAGTTGTAGAGGACCTGGCCAAGTTGTAGAGGACCTGGCCAAGTTGTAGAGGACCTGGCCAAGTTGTAGAGGACCTGGCCAAGTTGTAGAGGACCTGGCCAAGTTGTAGAGGACCTGGCCAAGTTGTAGAGGACCTGGCCAAGTTGTAGAGGACCTGGCCAAGTTGTAGAGGACCTGGCCAAGTTGTAGAGGACCTGGCCAAGTTGTAGAGGACCTGGCCAAGTTGTAGAGGACCTGGCCAAGTTGTAGAGGACCTGGCCAAGTTGTAGAGGACCTGGCCAAGTTGTAGAGGACCTGGCCAAGTTGTAGAGGACCTGGCCAAGTTGTAGAGGACCTGGCCAAGTTGTAGAGGACCTGGCCAAGTTGTAGAGGACCTGGCCAAGTTGTAGAGGACCTGGCCAAGTTGTAGAGGACCTGGCCAAGTTGTAGAGGACCTGGCCAAGTTGTAGAGGACCTGGCCAAGTTGTAGAGGACCTGGCCAAGTTGTAGAGGACCTGGCCAAGTTGTAGAGGACCTGGCCAAGTTGTAGAGGACCTGGCCAAGTTGTAGAGGACCTGGCCAAGTTGTAGAGGACCTGGCCAAGTTGTAGAGGACCTGGCCAAGTTTGTAGAGGACCTGGCCAAGTTGTAGAGGACCTGGCCAAGTTGTAGAGGACCTGGCCAAGTTGTAGAGGACCTGGCCAAGTTGTAGAGGACCTGGCCAAGTTGTAGAGGACCTGGCCAAGTTGTAGAGGACCTGGCCAAGTTGTAGAGGACCTGGCCAAGTTGTAGAGGACCTGGCCAAGTTGTAGAGGACCTGGCCAAGTTGTAGAGGACCTGGCCAAGTTGTAGAGGACCTGGCCAAGTTGTAGAGGACCTGGCCAAGTTGTAGAGGACCTGGCCAAGTTGTAGAGGACCTGGCCAAGTTGTAGAGGACCTGGCCAAGTTGTAGAGGACCTGGCCAAGTTGTAGAGGACCTGGCCAAGTTGTAGAGGACCTGGCCAAGTTGTAGAGGACCTGGCCAAGTTGTAGAGGACCTGGCCAAGTTGTAGAGGACCTGGCCAAGTTGTAGAGGACCTGGCCAAGTTGTAGAGGACCTGGCCAAGTTGTAGAGGACCTGGCCAAGTTGTAGAGGACCTGGCCAAGTTGTAGAGGACCTGGCCAAGTTGTAGAGGACCTGGCCAAGTTGTAGAGGACCTGGCCAAGTTGTAGAGGACCTGGCCAAGTTGTAGAGGACCTGGCCAAGTTGTAGAGGACCTGGCCAAGTTGTAGAGGACCTGGCCAAGTTGTAGAGGACCTGGCCAAGTTGTAGAGGACCTGGCCAAGTTGTAGAGGACCTGGCCAAGTTGTAGAGGACCTGGCCAAGTTGTAGAGGACCTGGCCAAGTTGTAGAGGACCTGGCCAAGTTGTAGAGGACCTGGCCAAATTGTAGAGGACCTGGCCAAGTTGTAGAGGACCTGGCCAAGTTGTAGAGGACCTGGCCAAGTTGTAGAGGACCTGGCCAAGTTGTAGAGGACCTGGCCAAGTTGTAGAGGACCTGGCCAAGTTGTAGAGGACCTGGCCAAGTTGTAGAGGACCTGGCCAAGTTGTAGAGGACCTGGCCAAGTTGTAGAGGACCTGGCCAAGTTCTAGAGATCCTGGCCAAGTAATTTTAAGCTTTGAAGTCACAAAAATATTTTCAGTAGTATAGCCTTGTGGGTTTAGCGCTTACGACTCGAGTCTGTGTTAGAGCGTCTGGGAGAGTGAGTGTTCTGAAACTGGGTTATGCAGCATATATTTAGACTTCGTAAACTCCCCTTGATCTTACCTAGACCTACCTTGATCTTACCTAGACCCACCTTGATCTTACCTAGACCCACCTTGATCTTACCTAGACCCACCTTGATCTTACCTAGACCCACCTTGATCTTACCTAGACCCACCTTGATCTTACCTAGACCCCTTGATCTCACCCAGACCCCCTGATCTCACCCAGACCCACCTTGATCTTACCTAGACCCCCTTGACCTTACCTAGACCCCCTTGACCTTACCTAGACCCCCTTGACCTTACCTAGACCCCCTTGACCTTACCTAGACACCCTTGATATTACCTAGACCCCCTTGACCTTACCTAGACACCCTTGATCTTACCTAGACCCACCTTGATCTTACCTAGACCCACCTTGATCTTACCTAGACCCCTTGATCTCACCCAGACCCCCTTGATCTTACCTAGACCCACCTTGATCTTACCTAGACCCCTTGATCTCATCCAGACCACCTTGACCTTACCTAGACCCCCTTGACCTTACCTAGACCCCCTTGACCTTACCTAGACCCCCTTGACCTTACCTAGACACCCTTGATCTTACCTAGACACCCTTGACCTTACCTAGGCACCCTTGACCTTACCTAGACCCCCTTGATCTTACCTAGACCCTTTTGAAGTTATTCAGACCTCCCTTGATCTTACCATTGCGCCGCCACTTGCTCTGTAAATTAGTAAGGCCTATACCTGGAGTATGCTGCAGTTGTGTGTTGTGTATATATATATAATTATATATTTTATATATATATATATATATAATATATATATATATATATATATATATATATATATATATATATATATATATGTATGTATATATATATGTATGTATGTATATATATATGTATGTATGTATATATATATGTATGTATGTATATATATATGTATGTATGTATA